AGCACATATGATCAAACATGTTGAAAATGTTGAACATGTTAAAGTTAAAACAAAATTCATTCAGTACTAAAGGATATATTGGGTTCTTTCATTTAAAATGTGTTCAGTGTACTGATAAATTTTCTATACATGTATTTAACTTTGAATAATGAGTTATATGGCGCAACATTGAATCAAAATCGGTGTAATGGTGATCAAGTGTAGAAATTTTATGCATAAATGCCTTCATCACGCAAGCTAATCGCTTAATCACACCATCAAACAAAAAAGACGATTATTCCTCAATTGACAGCTTAAAAATATAGTGATATACTTATAAATTTAATCGTATGTGTACTTTTTACTGAGAAAAGTAATAAATGTATTAAGTACCAAATACTACAATTTTAGTGCTACTGGAGATTCTAAAAAGACATTGAGAACACAATCATAGAATGGCTAAAGTATGCAAAGGACAGGGATGGGGGAGGAAGAAACGGACAAAGAAGAAATTTAAAGAAGGGAAGGAGGAGACTCTGGAGAGAGAAGAGGAGAATTAGGAGAGGGATCAGATTGAACGCGGCAGTGTCTAACTTTTTCCTGTTTGGGCTGTGACATATCTGTAGTTCTCTCCTTTTCTGTGTCTGTTTGTCGGTAAAAAACATGATGCAGATGTCAGATACATTTTTTGTGTAAGTAAACAAAATTGCGGGATTCATTTAAGTATTATTTTAGGAAAAGGAGGTCTTTGTTTATTTTTTAGACGTGTTTATTGATATCTGCAATTCACTGAACTTGTGCATAAATTTTCATCAGAAAGGGAGTATACAATCATTTAACCCTACATGTATCGCTTCAAGTGAGCATCAACTTTTTGTTCTTTATTAATGTATTCTTCATGCTTTGAGCAATAAAATATTAGTATGTTATAATTTAATTTAATAATATGATTTCTTTTTCCTCAGTCTTTTTAATTAATGTAGAGCTACTAACAATGCAATACTTGTTGATGGTAATTCTTTGAGATATTGTGGATATGTATTAAACTATTAATCTAGCATAAATAGTATTAAAGGGCTTTTACCATTAAACTGTACTACAAAACTACGATAACCTTATATAGTTTGTTATTACATTTTGAGGACAAATGGCCAGCCAGTGAAGAGCAAATGAGTTGTCCTGATGGAGAGCCAATAAGATACAAACCAACGTTGGTCCAAAAATGGTGTTTGCCTCATATTGAAAAAATAAGTGGCCCAACAATGGCTCAATAATATCCGTTCGTTGGTCCAACAATAAGCCAACAAGTTGGTCTGATTAAGGGCCGATGAGCAAATTACCGTTGGCCCAACATTAATTGCTTACAATGGCCCAACTGTACAAAAATGACGTTTGCCCAACATTGAAAGAATACATTGGCCCAACAGTGGTCCAATATTAACTGTTACATTGGCCCAACAATAAGCCAGCAAGTTGGTTTGATTAAGGGCCGATGAGCAAATTACCGTTGGCCCAGCATTAATTGCTTACAATGGCCCAACTGAACAAAAATGACGTTTGCCCAATATTGAAAGAATAAATTGGCCCAACAGTGGCCCGATATTAACTGTTACATTGGCCCAACAATAAGCCCACAAGTTGGATTGATTAAGGGCCGATGAGCAAATTACCGATGGCCCAATGTTGAATGCAAACGGTGGCCCAACATAAGGAGCATTGTTGGCCCAACAAAGGTCCAACAGCATCCTGCTATCTGGGATGTGACTACGACTGGGAAAATGGGGCCAGATGAGCTAAAATCAGATTTTGAGTTTTTGTCATTTTTTAAATCCTCGTTATGTAAATAATTTTTTTTTCAAAAAACCAGAGTCATATCTGAAGGGGTTTTAGAGATATGACTACATCTGTTCATTGACCCTTTATAGAGTTATTACATAAAAAGACACTTTGAAACAGGGAAAATGCACTTTTTCTATGATATTTAATCTGAACTTCCAAATTTAAAACCAAGGAAAAGTAATGATTTAATTATAGACTTTTTTTCTAAAAATTTATGAAATTGAACTTTTTTAGTGTATAGAATTGAAACCATTGCTGTCATGGCAACAAAATAAAATAAGACTTTTTATCATTAAAAAAAATCATCTCTGCAGAGTTCAAAGACAATCAGTGTTTATAAAACTTCAATATTTCATACACATCCTTTGTTCATAAATTTTCAAGTTTTAAGGAAGCTATAAACACTAATATAAAATATTTTCTGGCTTGAAGAAAATTATGTCATATAAAAGTTTACAGACCAAGTTTATCAAGTTCCTATCATATTTCCCTGAAAAAATGTTCAAAGACAGTTAAGGTACCATATGTCAACTCAGTGAACAGAAATTATGCTTGTTTACTTACATTGGGAAGATATATGCAAAAGATTTATTTAATTACTTTATCTTAGTCTGACAAACATGTAATGTTAAGAACACTTTTGTCTAGTACACATGGTTTCTTTCACTGTAGATTTTAGTGTAATCTATCTAACATCTAAGGGCAAATCACTCTAAGTTGGCATAAAACTGCCATGAAATTTAGAAGTCTTTAGTGTGCAGTGTTAAGAGCTTCCTTAAACAACTGAGAAAATAAAAACAACTAGATACGATCTCGTTGAGAGCAACGAATAGGTTTTCCGTTGAATTTCTCGATAAGATGAGATGTGATTTTGACTGAGATATTCGTTAAAGGAGAATGACATTAAGTTTACCTTCATTAAATTTAAAGTTTCTGATTTATATCATGATATTCTGAACATCTTTTGTGCAATATGGCTTATTAAATTACTCCCCCTTCTCGAGATGTAAAGCATCTAGGATATAGAATTTTGGCCCCTTGCGACCCCTTATTACGTAACATGTGAGCAAAATTTTCTAATATATTTTTGCAAATCGTTAAGATGAATATCTTTGCTTCTGTAATGTATCACAAAATAGTGATCATTATAGAGTTAAAGATCTTATGATTTTTGAACACTTTTTGTTCAACAACTATTCAGAAATTCTTTTTTGTTTTCGAGTTATTTGCAAAAGAAATGTTTAGGGGCCAACCCTTCAACTCCATAATGGGGACGTTTAGCGAAAAATGAAAGATTGCATATTGTTAAGAACATTATTTTGAACATCTTTTGTTCAATATTACTTATCAAAATATTTCTCATTTTCGAGATATAAAACGTCAAAGATTTAGCATTCTGGTCCCTTGTGGCCCCTAATTATGTACAGTGTACCATATGACATAAAAATCATAATATGTAGTTGTAGGTTGTTGAGATAAACATCTTTGCTTCAGTAATGTATTACAAAATATTAACTGATAAAGAGTTATCGATTGAAGACTTTTGGCCCCTCTTGGCCCCTGATTTGAGTGCCCACCCCCTTTTTCTTGATTTCATCTTAAAGATCTTAGGATTTTGAACACTTTTTGTTCAACAAATATTCAGAAATTCTTTTTTGTTTTTGAATTACACTGTATTTGCAAAAGAAATATTTAGGGGCCAACCTTTCAACTTCCTAATGGGGACGTTTAGCGAAAAATGAATGGTTGCATATTGTTCAGAACATTATTTTGAACATCTTTTGTTCAATATTACATATCAAAATATTTCTCCCTTTCGAGATATAAAGCGTCAAAGATTTAGCATTCTGGCCCCTTGTGGCCCCTATTTATGTACCATACGACATAAAAATCATAATATGTAGTTGTAGATTGTTGAGATAAAAATCTTTGCTTCAGTAATGTATTACAAAATATTAACTGATAAAGAGTTATCGATTGAAGACTTTTGGCCCCTCTTCGTTTTCTTCTTGTTTTCATTTAGGAAACACCAAAGTTTTGTCTATTTCTTTTACTTTTTAGTTTGACATTTGACTCACATCAATTTGTCTCATTCACATTTCAAGTAAATAGATGAATCTAAAGAAAACTTAAATTGTTCGTACTGTATAAATCTCATATCATATGACGCAGCTTTCAGACTTGAACACAGGAGAGAAAAAACATGTCACGTCAACGGTTTATAATTGGTTGCTCAGGTTTCAAACTTCTTAAGATACTTCAAGTATGCTAAAAATATCCCTTGGTATAAAGTTTTATTTCCTTCATTTTTTAAAAAAAAATTTTCTGTACTTTCTTGATATGACGGTGCCTTCTTTTTTTCAAACAAGGTAAAAGTTTAAGTTTTAGAAATTTCGATCATAAGCACTTTTTTTATATCGGATAAAAAGCTAAATAAAAGAAAATAAGTATTTCTAAAAAAAAAAAAAAAAAAAAAAAAACAACAAAAAACCGAAAACAAAACTAGGTGAATGATGATGTATTTATAAGAAAAGAAGAGCATGGGAATAACCATGACTTTTTTATGCTTGGGCGTTCATCACTGTAAGCAGAGCTATTTGTCATTGTTACAGTAATGTTTGTTGTTTGAAAGAAAAAGTATATAAATTTATAAAAATAGTCATTACTTCCATTATCATACAAGGGCCCAATGAAATTGTAAACAAAGCAAGACGTCATTACGCTACATTTACGAGTAGAAAAATGTTTTTTACACTGCTACTCCAAAGCACAAAAATGACACTATTGTGTTCCATTCATATTTTCGTCCATACAAATGTGGTTTTGTATTAGTTTGATTTTTAGTTGTTAAATTTGTGATTATTGAAAGTGGTGTTTTTTACTCAGTAGGAAGCGTAAAAGTTTTTTACTGTTAAGTAAACATAAGTAAAATTAAGCAACTGTATATAATTATCTACTAAACTTTTGAAAATCTGGATAGAAGAAGGGACATTTAGCACCAAGTTCGTCATTGTCCTTAAATCTCACATGATAAAATAATGTACTTGATTTAATACAAGAATTTACAAATTAATTTGGAAAATCCATAGATCGCCGTGTCAATTATGTAATACGTACAATCTGTAAGTGGAACAAATGATGTATCAAATCTAGTTCATAGGTCGTTTTAGTTTTTACTAATTGAAAAATAAATAAAAGACTGCGAATTTATAATATTGTATTATATTTTGGAATCTTCTACAGAAATTTAAGGTAAGTTTTTATCAGTATACAGTTAAAGTATATCGTTGAGGGAGTCAGTAAGATTCCAGCTCCCCAAGAGCAAGTCTATTTCCCGAGGCGCTTGCGCCGAGGGAAATAGGCTTGCTCGAGGGGAACTGGAATCTTGCTGGCTCCCGAAATGATATACTTTAACTGTTTTATTATACCGATACAAACAAGACATTTGAAAAAAATTATATTCAACACTGTATTCAGTAACAATGTTTAAAAAAATGAAAAAATGAAAAAAAAAAAAAAAACGACAAAAACAGAATACAGTCATGAAAGGAATTCCATTTTATCAATAAATCAGTTCATTGTCCGAGTTTTTACCTAGTAAAATCGAAAGTAACATTACGCAAAATTGAGCACGCCATTTCTGTTGTCGTTCGCTTCCAGTAAACTGGTTCTTTTTGATTGATATGGGACCAGTTGACTCGCGATGCATTTCGATTCACTAATGAATATTCAGTTTATTCGGAACATTTTTAAGTTTGTCGTAAGTTGAAAGAAAATGTCAAGCGTTCCGAATAGGTGTGTATCAGTTCATCAAAAAAACGTACTTTTTTGCAGGGAATCAGTCTGTTTTGCAGGGAATCGGTTTATTTACGGTGATTTTCAGGAAATCAGCAAAATATATCGATTTACTTTTATATAGTGAAAAATCAGTAGAGGTATAATAATACTTACTAAAATATACTAATGACTAACATCAACATATTTTTAGGGAAGAGCATATATTAACTATTTTTGCTAATTTTCAGTTGTGTAGTTGACTACTTTTTAGTTGTTAGAAACCTTGCTAAATAAAATTAATTGAAAATACTGATTAAAACTCATCTCTGCACATTTTTCATATAGTAAAATTACATAAAACCATAATAATTAACTTTGAAATAATTTAAACGATATTTATGATATTAACGTAAGTAACGTGCAAGGAGCCGAGCTGGCCCTGGGATCATGAAACTTCCACTGGCGATGTCTTAAGTTTAAGACAAGTTGGCAAGTTTTGCTGAAATAATAGCATTGTAGAAGTAAAACAGTCCAAATAACAATCCAAATAAAATCATTATATAAATAAAATTTACGATTTTGCTTAAAATTTGCAATTTTGCATAACATTTAAATTTGAAAATTTGGTGACTATTTTGTTTCTTCATCAAAATTATTTCAAAAGGTTACTTGAGTAAAGTTTGTGGTTTGGGGGCCTGGCATTGTAGACACTGTTTTCGAGATCCCTCCTCATAAAATGGCTTAAATATTACAGTCTGGTGAATGCAGTGGTCAAACATTTTTATGGGGTGTTTATTATCGAGATTAACTTGATATCGTCTTCAACGTCCAATATACATCCAGATATATATACAAAATATCAATCTTGCACCTTAGGATTTGAATAGTCTATATAAGGTCTCTATTTCAACTGGGGAAATTTCAGTTCTTGAAATTCTTAGTCTTTCTGGATTATTTGTATCATTTCTCGCATATTGCCTGTCACACCCGACCCTGTTTTTCAAATGTTTGCTATCCTTCTGATACGCATTTTAGAAAGCTTCTCTTTTTAAAAACTCTTTGATTCTCCTTAGAAAGATTCTGCAACGATTGATTTTCAATTAATTAAACGTAAACACATATTAGATCAAATTTGTTTTTATTAGCAAAATGACGATCAAATTTTTCACATACACAACATATGTACAATATGGAAAAATAATACTAATTACGTATATAGATCAAATTGTGTCACTGTAAATCAAAGGTGAGGAATCAATTTCTGCACGGAATCTAAAACAAAGGATTGACATCTTAAACCGATTAAATACAGTATAAATACTGTATACAGGGTTATTTTCGCCCTGTGTAATTTTTGCCTTTTCATATTTGGAAACAAGTTTACCCCGTTTTAGATTCTCCCAGAAAGATTTTTGTTTAAAATTGTATACTGTTAAATTTGAATTCGTCCCGTTTTAATTTTGCCCACTTCCAACGAGGGCGAAAGGGGCAAAGATTAAACGGGCGAAAACTTCCCTGTTTACAGTATAGCAAGTGAGTAGATAAAAAGAAAAACATATCATAACAATGTTGATGTGGTTAACGTAATGTATTTATCACTTTATGGACACTTTAATTCTATAATAATTTTAAAATAACTTATCAATAAAATAGGTTTTGTCTGTCCTTTCATCCATATGAATTTCCTTAAAGATGTGGTACTTGGTTGTCACCTTACTTTTGGGATCCACTGTTACCGTCCTTGGACAACGACAACAAACATCATGTTATTTGGTAAGTGTATAGATTTTGAATGATTTCTTGTTATAATCCTGTTGTCAACATGTGCAGAAACTAATGTCTGATGAAATGTCTTATTCACAAACGGATTTTGTCTGCCAGAAATTTTAAATTGTATATTTTTATGATAATGATCGATGTGCGTTCTATCATATCAAGTTTCTGTAGATTTTGTGTTCTCCTGATGAGCGCTGTGTGGATGGTTTATGTCAGCCAATAACTGGTAAGTTAAATAATTAATCGTTAGATTAACTCCTTTCTTCACTACTACTGGCCAACTCATTTTTTTTTTTTATTGTTGATGGTAAGATAGAAAATGATTGCATACATATTGAGTACTTGATGGTTCATCACAGATATCGAAGAAATTCTAAACTAAACTTCAAACTATTCTCGAAAAGCTTTCAGTGAAAGGAACTAGAAAGCGTTATCTTATATAAAGAATTGTAATCGGTTTTTTTTCAAGAATTTAATTATCTATTATCTTGGGTCGACGCAATAAAACAACAATTTTTTTAATGGTTTTTTTTATTTATTTGGCGCTTTTGGACACGGCTGAATAATATAACAACATATTATTTCGGGCCTCCAAAGCAACGGGTAGGCCCAGCAACAACAACATTTCAGTTCAACAACAACAGTATTTCAGTTCAACAACAACATTTCAGTACAACATCAACATATCTGGTGACCTTGACCCTGTAAGATGCAGAGGCCAAGGTCAACAAACATTTCAGTACAACATATTAGGTGACCTTGACCCCTGGAGATGCAGAGGTCAAGGTCAAATAATAAAAACTTGCAATGCAAGAATAATATTCACACATCCATGACTCTTGGAGGTGCAGAAGTCCAGGAAGAAAAAATAAAATAGTTTTATTTACACTGAATGCAAGATTTAGAATAATATTCACACATCCATGACTCTGGGAGATGCAGAAGTCAAGGAAGAAAATAAAAATAAAATAGTTTTGTTTACACTGTCACAATATTTACATGGTATTCAACTTTGACCCTGTGTGGTGCAGCGGTCCAATAATGAACCCATATCACATCATAGTTCAAGTGATGTATGCCGCTCAGTTCGCCACAAGACCCCAGTCGTATATTCTTGAACAAAGCATATACGAATGGGGGCGCCGACACTTTACTAGTGGGGGGTCCTGAGCGGCCTGAAACAGCCGTGACCCTTCCTCTCCAGATATCAGTCATTACTGTGAAGGATAAAACTTACATCCATGCCTAATAATTGGCTTTATATCCCCTGAATTGTTTTTTTTTTCAAGTTTATTTTCTTAACTTGGATAAATGTACCCCATCACTTTCAACTAATCCTGGCATGGTTTTTTGATGTCAGGATAGTGGATTACAGAATCCCCAACTTCACAAACTTTGTTAAAGAAAAATGCATTAAACCTCTTACTAGCATTCTCCATGGCCAGATTATATGAAGAACAATGCTAATTAATACGAGCAGAATATGAGACCATATTAAGTGCACAAGAGGAAATTGAATCTCTTTAATAAATTTCAAGTATTTAAACCTGACATTCTTTAATTTTCTCACTGTTGTTTTCCCTCTATGCATAATCTGAGATGAAATCCCCAATTCCGCACTTTCCCCAATACGAAGAAGTGGGATTTTTAGTCCCAAAACTCGAGATTTAAGACCTAAGGTTTGGCTAAATTTGAAGTAAAATGGTACTTAGTGAAAGGAGATCCGGAAAAATTGACAAAATAGTTGACCCCTTGGGTAGGTCTAATTTCTAAAAACCTTTAAAGATTAGTGCAGAGGCAAGTTAAATCCTCTATGCCATGCATCTCCAAAGTTGTTTCCCTTCCATATTGGTAGGTCTTTGATTTATTTATTTTTTTTTTAAATGTGTCGTCAGATTGAGTTACTTTAATTTTAATCAATATTTTATTATGTAAGTAACATTACATAATTGGATTGGACATCAGGCATGGCCTATATGAGTTTCTGTATTGGCAACAACTCGATCTATCTGAGGATTCGTCGGAGACTGCAGGTTTTTTCCTAAAAAAGGTTTGAGTATACAATAGAAAATGCAGTTGAAAATAATTAATGATATCTCATATGAATTTGTACATACGCAAGGTAAAATTTTAAGAATCTGCTTTAATATAGACCTTTTAATGGGCAACCTACTGTCAATGCAGTGAGCTGTGCTTTTTAACCCCTGTAACAACTTTTAACTATGAATTCTTCTGTTAGGCCTATGTGACCTTGAAGTTTGCAATTATAAGAAACGGAAGCTAAGTTAGGACGAACTGTCGAAAACACCAGGCCTTTAATTGACCAGTGTGCAACAAATCTAAATATCAAACAACAAGGGGGAGTCAAATAGTATTTAATCCTTGCTGCAAGCAGCAGCTGAAGCATGCTCTTACGCCTAATTAATAAGCCTTGCTAGTGTTTTCAGAAAATGCTGCCCCTAACAACTTGTTTAATTTATGCTAGATATGAGGTTCTGAAATTCGATTGGTACAGGTTGTGGTCATGTATGTGGTGCAGCTTGCAAGAAACATTGCCACTGCTGACGAAAAATTGGATCGGCAATACTGTTATAATTAGTACGGAAGTGAACAGCACGAAAACCTAAATTGTTTAAAAGCAATCTAACACAAATGAATGAATTAATTTCATAACTCTACTGGATTTTGAGGACTGTATGTTCAAAACCGTAACCAATGCCTCATTATCAATATAAAACCGTATTCTCCTATTTGCATGTTGAATACCACATAAACTCACAGCCAAAACTACTGGAATAAGATCTAGTGTTGTCATGCGATATATTTGAATTACTGTAGTCACCCATTCACGTGGCGAAGGGAAATAGCACCATTGCCCTCAAAAGTATGCTCCACAACCCAGATGTGCAGAAACGGCACTATCTGTATACATATCTAAAATTTGATTTGACGACCAATCCCTTTCTTGGAAATAAACTTGACCATTAAATTGCCCTAGGAAACTTAAGCATATATCTTGCTTCATTTCATTGTCTAACATAGTATGATGGTAAGGCTTAGATACCCCCGGGTTGAATCAAACAATCTCTTAACAAACTTGTAAGAGAAATTGAGCTTCTGCAACAATGACTATAACTGCCGTAGAACTAATAATTAATGTTCCTACAGTATGGACGTCAATTTGATACATTTTTCAAGAGGTATTCTGATCAGCATTTGCATTGTTTCATTTTCTAAACCTAGTTTAACCTACAAGACAGTGAGTGGGATAAACCGTTTTGCCATCAGTTAAGGGGAACCCCCAGTTGAATACAAACCCCTTGCGATGTTTGCATTAATTTAAGAATGACTCCCTTTCTTTATCTGCAAATATGAAATCATCTAATAGATGTTTTTTTTTTTTTTTTTTTTTTTTTTTTTTATCCATTGCAAGAATATTTGAATTTCTTAAAAGCTTTGTGTGAGAGATGGAGATGCCTTGACGACATTTATCAAAGTAATATATATTACCTCAACTTTGAATACTAAAAGGTCAAAATCACCAGGGAACGTATATAGAAACCTAAAGCTGATTTAATATCCATTTTTACAAAATATGCACCCTCACCAACCTTGGCCAACAAATTATTACTATCAAAGGATGTATAATAACTGTGAACTTACTATGTTTTATATAGTGATTTTCACTGCTGTCTGCAGGATATGAAAGGTGCGTTATCAATCGCCACCCAGAGTTATCCCTCTTTGGTACCACTCCCACTGGAGATACTCTGAGATTACATATGGGTACCCCCCCCCTTAAGTCATTTTGTTTGTTGTTATTATTTAATTATTAATATTTTTCCTGCTTTGCATTGATAAGCTGAAATTAAATTGATATTTTTTATATGTAACATTGGATTAGAGTTATAAAGTCTGAACCCCTGAGAAAAACCCATGCACTCAACAGTTTGTTGCTACAGGTTTGTTTGGATAACGATCAGCGTTATAGCAATATAGGAATTTTAATTGGTATGTTTCCTACTGCCAAATTATTTTCAGCTATTTTACTTGTATTTTTCGGATGTGGGACTGAGGTTTTTGCTAGGAGTTTGGTGGAGCTTGATGTCTTGTATATGGATTTCTATATTGTAAACTTATTGTGGTTGCATGGGCTTGGTTCGAAAGGAGAAGGTGCGTCCGAATGAGCTACTGGTATTCCATTTACCTGGGCTCTTCAAAAATTGCATTGTATGACTGTGTGCATGCCAGGACCACTTGTACAAGTGCGCATGTACTGTCACAGATTTGACTGCAGGACCCCTTAAATTGAAATCAACGCTCGTTTTGTTTGAGAGTGTTGAGTCTGGAGAAATTCCAGTCGATAACTAGGATTCACGTATGACAACAGTTTTAAATCAATTCAGGCCCAAGAAATAGGAGGGTCTATAGATTTTCGAAGACGATACTGCGTGACGTATTCAAACCCCATGCGAACTGTATGGACAAACTTAGGATATCTATTGCTTTATCTGGATGGGCAGATATATAAATAGATGCAAACAAGAGCGTGACGTCCATTTTTCAATTGGAAATACTTTTTGAGACATTTTCCTTTGGTACAATTTCTCCTGTGCCCTGTGGGTTAGTTTTTAATCAGTGCCCCCCCCTCCCCCCCCCCCCCCCCCGGTCCGTTTGAGTGGAAGCAGAGACTGTAATTCTACAAGATGGAAACCTGTAGACTCTAGTTTGAAAGTTGGTGTTAACATCAGTGAAATAAAGTAACATTTTACTGTTTGTAACGAAATAGTTATATATACTTACCTGTATTGTTCTTATTTATTCATGCCGTTTTTTTTTATTATCAATTGATTTATTTTTAGTTAAATAAACAGTCATCAGTTACAAAGTAATGAAGCTGAAAAGAGTCCATTAGCCATAAATTCACAAGAAATAGAGTTATAAAATTATTATCGAATACTTTAAATTTTTTCACTTGAGACAAAGATGGTGGCTAGCACATGGTGATGCAAATAGATAAATTGAAATGAATCTCATCTGATCTAAATTTAAACCTTTGTTATCGAATAGATAAGTAAACAATACGAATTCATAAAAATAGTAATAGCTATTTCTAAAATCTAAACTTAGCCATTGTTTTCTCAAATTTGATTAACACCAACCTTGCAACTAGCGTGTAACCGGCAAAGAGAGAGTTTGCAGCACGAGCACCTTTCTTTATATAAT